GAATTAACCTAGAGGCAGGACTCCAGTGATTAAAGTATAGGCCTTAGCCCTCATTCTGGAACGAGAAAGAGGCAAAGGATTAAATATTGGGGCAACAGTAAGAGAAATAAGTTAATTAAAGTTAGCTTAAGACCTTTTCTTTCACTTTGAATCTTCCTGCCTTTAAAAAAATCACTTTTGTTCTTCATTTTCTTCCCCAGAAAATGTCAGGAGACTATTTAGCTCACCTTTTTTCAGGTATCTTAATCCCCCTGAATCAGTCACTTTTAAGATACATCCAAGTTAATCCCCATTGAGTAATGAATTTAGTAAGAACAGAACATAAAAGCAGAGTTCACCAAGAAAAGCAAAAGAATTTCAAAAATACACATTTAGGGATAAACAACATAAAACTTCCACTTTATATTCAGATAAAGAATCTATTTGAAAGATGTATTTCTGTATTTAAGAAGGTTTTTAAAATTAAAGAGGTTGGTAGAAATGTAATTGTTTAGGGTGTTCAGGAATTTTTTAAAAGGAAAAATTAAAAACATAACCTACAAAACAATAAATTAACCAATGAAATATAAGTAAAGAATATTCAAAATAGGATTATAACCAATTAAAGACAAACAGATTGTAAAACAAAAACCAAATACAACTAAAGATAAAACAAATCCAAATATAAAATAAAATTAGAAAAAATACACAGGTAATTCAATGAATAAATTAAACAGGATAAGACTAAATAAAAGTAACTGTATTAAGAGAAAAATGCATTTCAACTACAGACACTTTGTATATTAAACTAAAAGAAATGTGAAATTGCATTCATAACTTTGTATTTGATAAACCCATGTAATTAAATTATATGATAAATGGGTCATGAATTTATAATGAAACAGAAATGACTTGGGAATGTTGGTCCCAATTTGGTACTTCTGTTCCATGTTGTCATTTCAATGTCATTTTATGGTTAGAGTGACAGTGGCTCAAAATTTTCTGTGCCAAAGAACTATGAAAAACACCACCACCACCAACAAACCAAGGAGCTGAAATGTTTTTGTAAATGACCCTGAGTTAATTAGAAAAATCTGCACCCTTACCAGTTCTTTTTCTCACGTCAGCTCTCATTAAATAATAATAAAAAAAAATCTCATTTCAAAGTTAAGAAATCCTATGGTTAACAAAAATTTTAAACTGGGATCAAGTGGGCACATTCCTACATTTCTGTATGATGTCATACCAAACACTTCACAGCTGAATTTGAATTTGCAAGAGTATGAATGACTTTTCAATATAAGAAGTATCTGATCTAACACTAATTTTTTCTCTGTAGGCTTACTGTGCTGGGAACAGGTGGCCCTGCTTTCAATTATGGAGGGTTAGCATGCCAGTGTGAGGCCTGGATTAGTTCACCTTCTCACGGGGAATTTTCCTCGGTTGGGAATGGATTTATTATGGCTTCACACATGGAATAGAGCTCATGTCAGCTGAGGGCAGTGACACATCATATGATTCAAATTAACCTGCTGTGGACTGTTCCGCAGGGCTTAGATTGTGTATTAAAATGACGACATTTTAAAAACAGCTTGAAAGAAACCAGGATTTCTGAACTGCAAAGGTTCCAATTTGTTCCAACTAATCTATCACCTGCTGGAGATATTATTCTAGTGGGTTTCTGGTAGCTGCTGTTTTCCAGGTTTCTCCAAGCCACTGACCTTGCTAATGGGTACAATTGTTGCCTCTGAAGGAAAGAAGTGGGGGTTGGGGAGCTTTGAAGGAGTTTTTGATATAGATGTTGGGACCTACCATTTATTTGCCTAAGGTAATATTACATGAACAAAGGAAATAAAGGAATACTCACAAGCTCTGAAATATGTTTCCAAACACAAATGGTAGAGAACAGAATTTGTATCACTTGTTTAGCGAAAATAATCCCTAAAAAATAAAACTGAAAGGCTGATTTCCAGAACTGCTTACACTTTTTTGAAGAAAATGTAGGATGATGCAGTTATAATCAGTATTTCCTCTAACTTTCAGGGTAATCACTTTTATTGCTATTTAGGTTATAGTAAACCTAAATTCAAAAGTAAGAAAGAGTAAATGAAACTATACTGCTTTAGCAGTAAGACATTATCTGGGAATGATACTTAAATAAATATACATACAGATTAAAAATCAAATGGTAGAAAATATTCCTAAGGCTAACACTAAATGACAATTTTACATAAAAATTACATGACATTCCTTTATTATTATATGTGATTTTTACAAAATTTCCAAGGGAAGGGGACAGTATCGGGGAGTATTATAAAGCTGACGTTTGTTCTCCTAGTCTCAGCATAAATCATATTTCTCTTGCTTAAAATCTAGAAAACATAAAAATGATACACTGATATGGCAAAATGTTTTAATGTGTCTTGTTATGCAAATTAACCTTACTATTTGCTATAGATTTTTGATTTCTAAATTAAAACAGAGTAGCATTCTCACTATATAGTGAGAGAGTGCATTCTGTGGAATAACACCTACTTATCTGCTCTGACAAATTATTTACAGTAAGAAAATTTTTGTCTAAGATAGTAAATTTTGGAGCTCAAGGATGTTAGGTTAGTGTTTTAGAAGAGATCCCAAACAGTTGATCTATCTTTCAAACTAATCTTTCCTTAAATACAAAGAAAATAAAAGTACTTTTAGTTAAAATGTTTTAGACTTAGAAGAACTTAAATCACTCATTGTACATTATGTTTGATTTTTGACAATAAAAGTACCATTTTAAAAAACAACTCTTCTTTCTTTGTATCATTCTCCTTTCCTGCATCCCCAAATTTCTGGAGTTTCGTGTTCAGAAACTGTGACTGATGCTCTTGGGAAATTTTTTTTTTTGTGTGTGTGTGTGTGTGTTTGAGATTTTAGAAAATAATTTTAATAAAAGTCACATAAAATCTTGCTACAAAAAGAATAGTCCCCAGACCAATAGCATTCACTTCATCTGGGAGCTTGTTAGAAACAGACTTTCAAGCCCTACCTTCTAGAATCATTAAATCACCATTTCCATTTTAACAAATTCCTCAGAGATGTTTCAAATGCAGATTCAAGTTTGAGATGATTGCTGTAAAATAACTATTTCAATTCAATAACTTAAACATTTGAATCTCCAAATATATTATCATCATTATTAAAAGGACATGAAATAAAATATGGTGTATATCTACTTCCCAGCTGTAAAAAGTATCCTGAGAAACAGAAAAGTACAATTACTTTAAAAATCACATTTTGGCTACACAGTCAGATTAAGTGCTAAAATTAAAATGTACATATAGGCATTTTTCTTAAAATTCAATTTATTTGGATACATTTGAAAATATGGTGCTACCTACCACATGGAAACTTGCAGATTCCATTCCTTTTACAAACAAATCAATCAAATGTAAACTACAAGTGAACTTCTTAGCCAAATTGAGTGAAAGACTGCTTAAAAGCAAATGAAAACTGAAAAATAAGAAGTGATCCAAGTTTCCCTGTCTTTCCTCCATGATCTAATGATGTATTGTTCTTACACTAAACCTGTTCAGTCTTTCACACGTGAACATCTCTGAAATCAGAAAATGTCCTCCAACTGACAAAGAAAAACTGAATCAGTTTCAATGGCAGATTTTTTTTTTCTTTCTCCTTGGTGATACATAAAATGTTTTTTCTTAAAATTAATGATGGTTCAGATTCAATGAAATGTGGTACTTCACACTTCATACTTAACTGAGTGCTAGGAACCATTCCTCCAATCCATCTACTACTACGTCAGACCAAAGGCTTCTTCCAAAACTCTGAAGACACCCTTGACTGCCTTAATCAGTTTCTCATTTTCCTTCTATTCTTTAAAACCATGTTTAGATATTTATCATGAAAAAGTTCTTTATATTAGCACTGGAGATATGTGCTTAAGTAGAAGTGGGCTCCCGTGAAAGGATCAGTGCAGGTGATTTCAGGCTCTGCAGTCCAGACATCATGGCTAACTGCCTTCTCCATCTGTGTAGTTAGTACATTGACAGGCCACAAAACAGACACTCAACAAGGTCCACAAGTGGATATTTTTCTTCATCAAAATCCATGCCTTCAAAGCTGTGGCTGGAGTCTTAAGAGAATGTAACATCATTGTTTGAAATTCCTAATGAAAAAATTAATATTCCTTTGATGGCTAACATATTCTGAAGTACTATAAGCACAATGAAAGCAAAATGAAAAAACAGGAATTTATGTTAATAAATAGCTCATGCCACACTGAGAAGAATACTAATAGAAGAGAAGGAGGAACATAAGATGAAGGTATAAGAAAAAGAGGAAGACAAAGAAGGATGAGGAGAAAGAGAAGAAATATCTCTAATTATGTTAAAATTAGTGTAGGACAGATGCTCAGAACTAATGTTTGAAGTCACAAAGACCTAGGCTTCTGAATGGCTCTTCTATCACTGGTATTTTACTTCACTTTCTTAGTTTTATTCAGAAAATAGGAATAATTGCAGTACTCATTCCTGAGTCTTTATGGGAATGTAAAGCACACTTTGATATCTTTAGCTGTCTAGAACTGTTTCAAGTACTCTGTTAAGCATCTAAAGTAAGTGTACACAACTAATTGATCTATATACATGCTATCTTGGTTATGTATATCATATATCCCATCCATTCATCCATTCATTTTATTCTCTTTATATTACAGGTAATAAAACCAAGGCACAAAAGACTATAGCAATAGTCTTGTTTAAGATTACACAATTAATTAATAGCAAAAGTAAAAACAAAATATCAGTCTTTAGCTTCCAGTCAATTATTCCTTAATCAAAAAAACATTTGTCAGACTTTTTGATCTGTAGAATGTACAGCCTCAAAGACATATACTTCTGGAAAATAAATCAACTACTCATTTTTGGCAGGGAATGTCAAAATCACTAACAGATCTATATGCACATTCATATAGACACATGGAAAGAAATGCAGACCCTTTTGAATTATGAGTTTCTTACCTGGTCCATTAAGAAAGTCTTTAATTTGCAGCGTTACAAGGGAAGGTGGAATACCACTTTTGCTGTCTATTTCTCCAGGCACTGTCTGCAGCCACACGGTGTTGTAATCAAGGGCTTCAGGCAGTGTTTTCCCAGGATCTAGAGGGACAATGATAAAATTGAAAACATCAATTATATTACAGACATCTCATTATGGGGTATGAGTTTGAGTTGATAAACAGATGAAAAAATGGTTAAATAGCTACATGTATCTTTCATTGTTTCCTTTATTTATATATTACAGCCTACAAGTACTTGTACTGAACAAGATCAACTATGTCTGTACAAGATGGGATGATGAAATCTCATTTTCCAGGACAAGGCCAAAGAGAAAAACACATTCCAAATCTTATATCATCTTTGAGTGAAGCTAAGTTTCTATACTCTGCTGACTCCTAACAGTTTAATAGTTAGATTTTTAAAAGAACATGATGTTGGAAACAAATTAAAGAAAAAGGGCAACCTTGTCAGCTTAAAAAAAAAGTGCATATACATGTTCAAAGATGCAGTGGATTAGTACTACTTAGGGGTTATTTGATCTGTTTTAGAGTTTTACTGACATTACAATCACTTTTTACTACAAGGCTTTTGAAGTTAACTTCAGTAGCTTTCCCATAACCTTTTCTAATGATAAAAATTGGTCAATCTTTTACTAGTTCCAATTAGACTAAAACTTGGGGTTTTTTTGTTTGTTTTGACTTTGTTTAATGTTATGCATGTTTTTTACTTTTTTTCTGGTTGATATTATGTATTTTTTAAAAGTATATTTTGGCTATTGGTGATAGCAAACTTAATTTGCTTTTTAATGCTTGGAAATCCACAACTTTTATTGAAATAGCTCTTTAAATAAAAACGACTGCTGTATCTTGGCATACAGTATAGTAGGCTTTTAAAAAACTTCTAAATATTCACAGTTTTTCTTTAGTTTCAAGATTGTTTTACTCTCTGTGTTTTAATGGCCTCTGAATGTCAATTTTATAGGGATGTTCTTGCCATAGAGCCCATCTATTCCATTTTCAGTCTATTTGAAATGTGTTACTAAAGTGTTATTTATTTTAGCTTTTATTGGTTGGATTGCTTTCAAGAATAGCATTTACATACAGTGTATTATATTGAACATATGGTTATATAGTATTACTGTCATATGTGAACTGGGCATATAAATTCTGCCTTGGAATTTGTATTTCTTGACCTTATCATGTGATCCTTATGAAATCTGGCACACACAAACCTTTATGTGATTTCAAAGAAAATACTGAAAGCAATTGATTGTGACGTTAGATCTATGTGGTAAAGATCAAACAGTGAGCTAGTGCATTCTTCCCTTTTTATATGATCAGTGAATTTAAAACAATGAGTAGACCCATTACATAGTAAGACTATACTATTCTCTCTTTTAAATACAGTGGTCAGTTCTGGTGAATGGATAATAGAAGTCTGATGCTATAGGATCTACACTCTGTATGAGCTATGTAAACCTACCAGAATCTGAGTATCTATTCTTAAGGTCTCTCCTATCTAGATGTCACCAAAAGTAAGTGGTGTTTGCAAGATCTATATGAGGAGACATAATTTTTCATATTGAAGAGAAAACATTTGAGAAAGAAAAAGTTATCTGATCGAGAAAACATAGATGTGATATAAATAACAATAAATAATGAACAGACACGAATTAAGCTGAGGTAGAAATGTTAATAAGATATATAAAAAACTGGAAAGTAAAACTTAAGTAGAACAAATAATAAGAAATGCATATTCCAAATTATATAGAATTAAAAAAATTGTTAGACTTATTGCATTTAAAAAAAAACAGGGCAGGGGTTGTGGCTCAGTGGTAGAGTGCTCGCCTAGCATGCACGAGGCACTGGGTTCGATCCTCAGAACCACATAAATGTAAAATAAAGATATTATGTCCACCTAAAACTAAAAAATAAATATTAAAAAAATTAAAAATTAAAAAACACAACCCCAGGGCTGGGGCTGTAGCTCAGCGATGGCACATTTGCCTGACATGTGTGAGGCACTGGGTTCAATTCTCAGTACCACATATAAATAAATAAAATAAAGATCTATCAACATCTAAAAAAATTTTTAAAAAACCCCACAACCTGTTTTCTACACTTTTCTAGGGATAAGGATTCCAAGTAGCAGGACAATGTACACTATGGAAATGTAAGTACATTAACTGTTATATCCTACATCATCAACAATAAGATGCCCAAACTAGAAAACAAAAGACTGGTGTACAGTAAGTATATGGCATACAAAACTTTTGTCAAAGGATAACATGAATGAAGTAAAAAGTCAAATAACCAAAAAAAGATAAAATTGCAACATAAGTGACAGTGACAAGGAGATATCACTAATATTTAGAGTTTACATAATCCATATAAACACCAATAGAAAAATCTGTGGAGTAGGGAATAAGTAATTAAAAATGGCATATAAACATTTAGAAATTGAAACATTAAAAGATACTAGTTTTAGCCAGGTGCAGTGGTGCACACCTAGAATCCCAGTGGCTCAGGAGGCTGAGAGGCTCGTCCTCAGTGTGTGTGTGTGTGTGTGTGTGTGTGTGTGTGTGGTGTGTGTGTGGTGTGTGTGTGTATATATGTATATATACACACACATACACATACATATATACGTATATATATATATATATACACACACATATATGTATATATACATACACACATATATATACACACATATATACACACACATATATATACACATATATATGGATAAATTCATAAATTCAAATATATAAGTAGTTTTTTGAAGCTTTTTAAAAGTTTTCATTTTTTCTTTTACTAATCCTTCTGGAGAGTACTGCTTTGTAAAAAAACAGGAAAAATCTGTTTAGCCTCACTCTTAATGGGACTTACAAATTAAAATGATAAACTCAAGTTTTCATTCATGAGATCTGATAAAAAGATTGATGCTGATATCCTATTGTGTAGAGGGCAAAGGAGGAGAAAAAGATCCTCCATGTAAGGTGGATAAGAATGTACATGCAATATTTCTGTATGATCAGGGGAATTGGTTGAGAATGACTGCTCATCAAAATTCAAAATATTCATGCCCTTGGCATCAGAAAGTTTATCTATAGAAATCTAACTTAAAAAATACTTGAGAATCATAGATTAATGTCCAAAGAAGTTGACTGTAGCATCATTGGAATATTAAAAATCTGGGGAAAATAAAATTAAGTATCCATCTATAGAGAAATGGTAAAAAAAAAATAGGACTAAGCTATGAATACTACACAGAATACTATGCTGCTGATAAAGAGAATAGAATCTCATGTACTGATATAGAAGACCTTCAAAGTACTTTCTCAGTGATTAAAAAAATAAGTAGGACAGTAGGGTTGGTAAATTTGAATATAAAAAATCCTATATGTATATAAATGTATACATAAGTGCTTCTTTTTTAAAGATGTATGGATGATCCTAACCTTATTTTGATATATAGATATATTGATATATAGACCTATAAGTTATTCAGGACTAAAGACAAAATAGGATTCTTTACAATCAATTTATAAAAACTAAAAGAAAGAGAAAAAGAAAATGTACACTATGGAAATGTAAGTACATTACAACTCATCAAAAAAACACTTCTCTCATCAAAGTATAAACTGGGGAATGCCAACTTCGGATTATGTGAGTGAGTTTTCCAGGTCAGTGAGGTACATTGTGTGCAGGTGCCTCTCCAATAGTAGACATTAGAGGGCCAAGCCATGTGGTGTTCCACCTAAAAATCTACCCTGGGGCACTTACAAAGGGAATGAGTTAATAAGAGATAAACCAACTGACACTAGTGGGGAGCAGAATCAGGATTAAGACTATAAAAGTCTATGAAATCTAGCCAAGAAAACCAAAATTTTAATGACTATTTCCTATGAAATATTAGGATAACTGCTTTTTTAAAAAGTATGTCTGAATTTATAAGGTTGGCAGAACAGAATAATTGAAGTTAGAAACATCCAGAAAAATATAGGTAGCATTGCTGATGAATATGATGGAACCGGTATCTCCTCTCCTGGCTTTGGTTCAAATCTCTCATTATATCTGCCTATAGTCTTGGCAATTAGTTAAAGCAGGACTAGCACAAGAGTATGTTAGAATCCTAGAGATTCCAAGTTCCAAAGTCACCATTTAGTCCCTATGATCAGATGCTAAAGAAGATGACTTCTAGACTTCTTGGACTCTCCTCAATTTAACTTCCCCTTAATTCCATCTTCAGGACAAGAAAAAGAGTCATGTTCACATTTCTTGGGATCCATATACCTGGGAAAGCACCAGATCAACTAAGATTAAATGAGCTTGTAAATATAATATAAGCAAAGTGACAAAGACTAGTGTTTCATACTGGAAGCTCCTTCCAACTTTTTTATACTTCAGAAACAGTTATTTTATTCAAGAGGGAGAAGCTCTCAAAGAAGAATAAACTTTGCCTAATGTTGGATGGGCACATTTACACTGTTGTCCTGAAGCTGAGGAAAAAGATGGTCCTATCTTAGGAGGAAGAATAAGAAGGTAGGGAAATGGGTCAGAATAAATGGCAAATTTGCTCATAGCAAGGCCTTGAGTTCAATCCCCTACCCAAAAATTGATGTAACACTGAATATAAAATGATGTTGAATTACTTTTATACTGGATACTTCTAAGAAATATCCATCATAGATACAATTCTTTTATATACATATATATATATTTTTTTCTTTTTATACTATAAATAACTTTGTTCGAGATAAGTTAGAACTCACTTTTAAAAAACACTATTATGGACCAAGTTGTAACATTTCCTTTAGGTTGACCTCACCCCCCTGCCCCAAGAAAATCATGTCACAAAGAAGATCTAAAGAGAAAATTGAGAGCCTCAGTTCAGTTTCCAGATTAATCAAAGTATTGGATTTCATAGGAACTTGATCAAGATTAGATTCCTTATATTCATAGATGACTTTACTTTTCTTTAGAAAAATCTCATTTCACTGAACTGCATGGGACAAATTCCACTAAATCTGATAAAATTGTCTTTTAAAATGCTGTAAACTAAAAAAAAATTAACAACAACAACAAAATACTGTG